CATTGGATAAAACCCCTTTGAGTTTTCAGTTTATGTTCTTGATTGTGGCTGTTGTCTCTCTAAAAAAGAGTTATTAGGGAGTCTAATTAACCTGCTATAAAGAATAATTGCATCTTTTTAAATCATTAATCAAAGATTGGTTTAAGTCAATAGCTTCAATGCCAACTTAGGGTTGGTCTTTGATTTCTCCAGAAATTATTCATAAAATCTGAATTTGAAAGGCTTTAAGGCTATTAATTACTCTATCAGAAGCAGAAACCAACACTTCATTATGGTAGTTCAGGATCAGCTGAATATACATTTTATAAGTTGTATTTAAAGTTTCTCTTTCAGCCCATTTAACTCCATCTTGTCATTTAAGAATAGGAAGGCTTCTTGCCTTTAAAATATTGTGAATCCAGTAAAAGTCATCAAGTCAGGGGGGTCATTTACAGAAATATTAAGTAGGATGAAGCTAATTATAGTGGTTAGTTTGCTTGAATTTAGAAGTGTAATCTCCAAAGTGAAATGGGGAGAAGCATTGAGAACAAAAATCTTTGATCCTCCAGAGCATCTTGTCATCAACACTTTTTGATTACAGTTTTTGGATAGTCCTTAATCTCCAGACCTTGTCCAAAGCAGCCTGTGTCTGTAAATAGGGCAAATACAGAACTTCGTCATTCTAAGGCATCTTTTATTGATTAGCTGAAGAAGGTGATCTGTTGGCTAGTTGATGGGAATTTTCTAAAATCTGCCTGGGTAGTAGACAAAATATTATTTGTCTCAATATACCAGTTAAGACAAGAAATTATCAATCACTCCATGACTTTAGATAGAATGCAATATTGGTCAAGGAAACAAGCTGATAACTAATAAAATCATCCAGAGGTTTATTCCTTTTATGTACTGGAATGACAATAGCTTTTTTCCAAATAGCAGCTACTCCAAAATTCCAGTTTTAGTTATATAATTTTAAAAGCACAGAAAATGCATTTTAGCCAAGATATTTTAGAAACTGTGAGAAGTTATCTGGCTTTGGACTCTCCATTTTTTGTTTGTCTAGTGTCTTCATTAAGTTCCAATATGCCGAAATCACTATGGAAGATCTCATGTCCTGGTTCTTTGGGCTAAGAAGAACAACCTTCTTTAACCTGACGAGTGTCTCTATTTTAAGATCATAATTCAACCTTTGTCTTTTAGAATAAATACAGTTAAAAGCATTAGGAATCTCATTATCATCAATTAAAAGGTTTCCCTCAACTCTCATTGGTTCCCCAATTTCCTCATTAGACTTATTCTTCAGCTAATTTACATAGTTTATATTACTGTCCTTTTTGTAGTGAATCTTAGTAATAAAATTATTAAAACATCTGTAATTTGCAATTAAAATATCTTTATGTAAGGTGAAACAAATAAATAATTATAATAATAAAACAGCCACAGAAACAGTACAGTGGTTAACGTCGCTGACTGGTGTGCCGAAGGGCCCAGGTTCAAATCTCGGAGTAGTCAAATTTGGAATGTTTGTAAATGTGTGTCATAGTATCTGTGCATCATGGTGCCACTCTAAATATGCACTGAGACGAAATTCCTCTTGAAAGGTTGGTAGTAGAAGATGAGGTATGGGGGCCCTTGGACATGTCCCCCCAGGATGCCCTTCATCAAAATTGGGGGTGGAACTGAGCTAAATTGTGCTGTCCCCTGTAAGGAGCTCAAGACTGTTGCCAGCAACTGGTGTAAACTTGCACTCCTTGCCTCGAGGAGTTTCATGGGCTTGGGCTGACTATAGATTAGACAAGTGAGCATTAACAACTGTGAGCAACAACAACAATAATAAAACATCAATTTGTGCAATTTTTGCGCCATTAGAAGAAAAGAGAGTAGTAATTATTTTAAAAGTGTATATCAAAATTACTGTCACCAATTAGGATTCCACTAGCAGTTTGTCTTGAATTTGATAAAATTCAGATATCAAAAGGACCAAAGTAATGGTTAATCAGCATTTCATCTGTCAAATTAGCTTCAAGAATAATAAAAACATCAATATCCAATGACTTACAAACAGTCAAAAGCTGTGTTTTCATTTCGTATGAGAGACCAGCTGTGTTCCACTGAAAGAATAGGTAGAAAAGGAAATAACAGATTTTAAAGGTGACTTATAATTTTACACCAGGCCAACAAAATTTCATGTGCATTATGAAAAAAAATCTTGGAGACCCGAGTGGAGAGCTGTTGACAGATTTATGCAATTAGCCACGGCTGATGTACACATGGAGGCGGCAACATAAGTCTATGTATACAGGGACTCCTAAAATCTTTGAAAATAATGGAACCTCAAAATTGTTAAATCTTCTAAATGGAAATTCGACGTCTGAATGTGGTTCAATCAGTTCATTGGTCACGGCTTTTGACAATAGGGGCATCTTGGGCTTGTAATAATCAGTATGATGTAATGTAGCTGGACCTCTTACCAGTATGAATGTAGTAGCCTTTAATTTACTTAACCTTTTAACTGTCATGCACGAAAGTATCCAGCGGAACAGGCGTGTGCACTGGATCCAAAATGAGGAGTGTCATGCCCGAAGTATTACTCTGGGGGCAACCATTTTTTTGTGATTAAAGGATGGCAAGGGAAAAGTCGGGTAAAAAATATGTTTAGATAGAGGGAAGGGGGCGAACCGAATATAGTAAGTGGTAAAGTAATAAAAGGTAAAAAAGTATGGGGTCGACACCATCGATGTAAGCCAATAAGAGGTAAATGGGGAAAAGAGAAACTGGTGTAATGGAGGGGGGAAGGGATGGGGAGCTTTCCCATACTAAGCGGTCTTTTGAAAAAAAAAGGGGGTGTGGGTGATTGTGGGCGCACGTTATTGATGAAAATTATTAAAAAACAAGTAGGACCTTGGAAGCTGGGTTTCACGCACAAGATCTAAGTTTTGCCCTATTAATGAGTACAGTTTGTGAAAGATCAATTCCACCTTATGCGCGCCACATGGAACCACCGGCCCACAAGTAATTTCATTAAAAGGATGTGGGTGTAAATCCTAAGATGGGGAGACGGTATACAGGGAGAATAAGTAGATGAACAATTTGAGATTCGACAAGATAATGAAAACATCGATTTTGTGCAACAAAATGGAAGATGAACATGGGATTAATAAACAAAAAAAATACTGTCCGATAATTATAATTAGAGACTTGCACACCGAGCAAAGAAAAAGGGGGAGGCACGGAATATTAAAATGAATGGTATAATAAAAATGCGTCAAGCGGAGTGGGTGTCCATGGGGGGGGGTTAAAAGAAAGTTTACTTTCGAGGCTCAGTTCAACAGAGGGTGGCCGCATTTTGATTGAAGTTTAAAAGGTGATAGAGGAATTACAGAGTTCCAAGGGCATGGTATTTTTTACGTTTAATTGTGACTGTTGAGGACAAACATGGTCATAATTTTGGAATAAAAAAAATTGAGAACAGATTAAATATGGCCCCAAATGCATCAAAAGAAACATAAGGGGCTTGGACAGTTTAAAAGTGAAAGACAGGTGGGAATCCTCTGAGTAAACATTCAGTTCTTCCAGGTGTTGGAAACCAATCTATTCAAATGTTTGGGGGAGTTGACTGAGAACAGATGCGGTAACAGGCAGTGATATTATGATAATGAACGATTGAGTAATAAGTTAATAAGCTTTCAAAAATGAACGAGGAAAGGTGACGCAGAAGTAAGGTTCGCAGTAAAGGAAATGCCATACCACAAGGAGGGAAGGGGAGAGAGAGGCATCGTGTGTGTGAGTAGAGGCAAAGAAATATGAATTTTTACCTCATTGGCAGTTACTCACGGCCTATAAGCAAAAAAGGGGGGGTTACTTTTGTTATTAAATTTGTGCAACATGTTTGCTAAATTGGAAAAATGCCGATCATTAGTAGCAAAGTGTACAATTTTTATTGTTTTTTATTTATTAATAAATTTATTATTTATTTATTTTATTTTAGATTTAGGTAATGCTTTATTTATTTATTTATTTAATTTTTTGTTCCGCAGGATTTCTTCTCCATGGTACCGCAGCATGCAGTGACCAAATTCCAGTCATGTGTGGTAGACTAATGAGTGCTCTTATAGCATTTTAGTTTTAGTTTGTTAATCTGCTTTGTAGATCAGCTTTATTTGTATTTTAAGTGTGTTAAAAATATACAGAATATTAAGTTTGTGTCAGAATGTAATGGCATCCTGGTTAGTAACAGTGGCTAAACAAAAGATAAAAAGTAGTAATTTTTATAAATAGCATTCTTTTCTGAAATGTAAACGCAGTAAAATTAAAGAAATGGTTTGCTTTAGTTTAGTGATGGGGGCAACACACCAACGAGGAATGTATTTCAAAGTGGGAATAAAGGAAATGAAGCTTGGGGAACTTGGTCTAAGAGAATCTTATCTCCTATGCCACATTACCCATGGAGGAAAACGCACAAAAATGGGCTAATGCAAGGAAAAAAAGCCCATCTTGGTTATTGGCCTGGATTGTAACGCCAGGTATGGTGAAAACTAGAGGCCAGTGGTTCAGAGGGGGCAGATTTTGGACCTACGTCTGGAAAATAATATAGAATGAAAAGTACTTTTGAATATTAGGTTACTCCAAAAATAAATATTTAAATCAGAAAGTTTTTTTTCGAAACTGAATGACCAACCTGCACTAACAATGTAGGCCAAAAGTAAACAGTGAGTAGGTTGGTTAATACGCTCGTTAAAGATTCCATCCATGTGATGTACGTTCATTATGAGTCACAAACTATTTGGACACACAGGGAGTAATCCGGTCTTGTACATGGAGAGTGGCATTGTCATTAAGATCCTGACATACCAGGTCTCGATGTAGGAACACGTACTCAAATTCATTATTCCAGGCTGTGTAAATATGCAACGAACTATTTCTTGATTGAAGCTTCCAGGCATTACAAATGATTTTTCTTGTTCTGGTAATGCTTCAATAATGGTTACTGGATATGTTCCCATTCACTTTCATAAGTCTAAATGCTGACTGCTGAATCCTGGAGTTTGGTGGCAGGTTCGTCCCAGGAAAGTTCTCGGGACTGCAGGTTGGTTGGATTTGTGGTAAACCCTTGTAACATTAATCCAACACCATTTCCCTTAGAAGAGCTTGTCGTGGTGACATTATTTGACCACCTCTGAACAGATAATCCTTAACTAAGTGCTTTGAATCATATTCAAGTTACCATAAGACTTTTGTACGCGATAAAAGTCTTTATCCAGACGTCCAAATGGGGAAAATCTGAAGTGACATGCTATAAAATCTGGACCTCAAAGCTATAGGTTTACAACATGGCATGGCGCGATATTAATTGTATATTGAAAGGTATCGGGGGGAGCCTAGGCTAAAATTTATCGAATTATCTATTTCAGTGTATATGTGGTGCAGGATTGCATTGGGGTCGCTGTCATCATTCTAATTGGATCAGAAGCGTATTATATTTTGCAGACGTTACCGACACTTTTATAAAAAGTAGCGTAACTTTCGATATGTCAAAAGAGTTTCCGATTCGGATTTGCCAGGTCTATAACGCGAAACATGTTTCGATTCCTACAAACAAAAAGTGAATAAATCTTAAGCTTTTTTTTTGTAATAAATTTGTACTTTTAATATCTTGTCTTTATTTCATAAATTACGGTTTCATATTTTCAATTTTATAATTTCTGCATGCCATCTTACTAGATTTAAATTGATGATCTATAATCCGGAAAATTCCCTAATCTGGAATCGCCTTGATGTGTAGCAATATGTTAACAAAGCCAGCTGTTTAGGCAACTTCTAATACTGTTCAGAACAATGTAGGGTGGAAAAAAAGCCATCATTTGATAGCTTTCTAGTAAATGTCATTGTTGTAACTACTATTTGACATAGAATATAATAAATAAAATGTAGCTATTCACTTATGATTTTATTAACATTCTGCATGTTGCTGCCATCCTATTCAACAAGAGAAGCAATTTAATTGAATTCTGTTATAACAGCATAAATATTATGTTGTTTATATCATGTGGAAGAAGTTAGTTTTTGAATTATTAATTTAATTGTTTAATGATGATTTATCATTATAAAGATTGCATTTGCATGTGCAGAATGCTGTTAAGTACATCACTATTCCTGAGTATTTTTAACCTAATTTAATGCCAGAGAATATGCATTAAGGGGTACATTTGTAAAGAATAAAAAAATCAAGGGTATTAGAATCTGATTTTTTAGAATGATATATCAATATCTTCACCATCTGTGCTGGGATTAGTGCAAATTAACTAAAATCTGAAATATTTTCTTTTGTGCAAAGACTTTTACTTTAGATTCTGAAGAATAGTCAATTTTACAATTCTAATGTGTAGTGGTTTCCAAAAGTTAAGCAACAGATTGAAAAATCAAATCAAAAATTAAATTTAGTTTGAAATTCTTGAAATTTTAAAATGTTACAAATAAAAGCAAGCTGCATCGATCACTTTACATAAACAGGATACAGCTTAAAACCAGCTGTTGTGGAGGGAATTGTTTTTCAATGAACGACCATATATTAAACAGTTTCAAGATAGCCAAGTTGTAAAATTGATTTCAAAGTGACATTTGCCAGCAGAATTTCATTATAGAGCCATTAAGCTGATTAGATGGAGGTCAACAACAGTCTGACATTGCAAGATGGCTAAATATCAACTGTTCCGGGGTAAGCCAGTTGTAGAACGAATTTTTAACTACTGGTTCGACCTCTCAGAGACCAATCAAAGTTAGGCCAAGCATTGTTACTCCTACAGATGACCTGTGTTTGCAGCTTAGTGCATGTTGCAACAGCACTGCAACTCCATCTTGGCTTAGATACGTGCTTAATTTTGCTATAAGAAGGACAGTAATGCCCACAACAGTATGCAGACGGCTGCATGAAAGAGCTCTGTGTGCTAGGTGACTGGCATTGTGCTTGCTGCTAACCTCCTGCTATTAGAGCAAAGGTTTGAATTGGGCATGTAGTCATTTAAACTAGACTAAAAATCAGTGGAGGTTTATTCTGTTCCTTGATGAGTTTTGCTTTGCCTTACAGAGTGATTCCAAATGTATTTACATATGAAAAGAAGCAAAAACTTGTCTAACATATAGGAAGGGGATACCTATGCATGCAGTAGTATTCTTGTATGGGAATGAGTAATTTTAGCTGGGTGCACAGACCTACATGTGCTGCTACATGAAACTCTGAATGCTCAGATATAGAAAGATGATGTGCTGGATTTTACTGCTTGTATGCTGCTGTAATTGGTGATGCGTTCATTTTACAAACAGGTAATGCCCACCTTCTTACTGCTTGCCTCATGCATGGATTTCTTGAAGAAGAAATTAAAGTACGAATGGAATGGCCAGCACACTCTCTCGACCTTAATCCCATTAAGCATTTGTGCGATGCTATCAGAAGGCATGTTACTGGCTTTCAACTCGCTCCCCAAAGCCTAGATGGACTTTGAACTGCTTTGTGTGATTAATAGGCATTACTACCCAAGCAATGTATTGACATCATCATAAACAGTATGAGACATAGATGTTAGGTCTGCATTGTTGTTTTGAGTGAGCATACTTACTATTGAGAAATTCCTTTTGTATTTAATTTGCATTTCTGAATTTATGAGATTTTATGTTCCTGTTGATATCACAAAATGTAAATACTATAACATTTTCAAGTTATAAGTGATATAATAAATATTATCACAAAGTTTTATCGATTTTGGTTTCTTTTTCAGTTATCATCAGTTTTCCATTTTTTGCTTAGTGTTTGGAAACCATTGTAGATTTTAAATTACATTATGGAAACAAATTGCAGTTGTCAAGTTCAAAGTGCTGATCTTTGGCAGTTTTATTTAAGATTTAGTTTCCAGTGAAAAACAAATTATCTGTGTATGCCAAGTTTCTCATGAATTTCCTTCTGTGTTTTATAACAAGTCATTTTCTGTACAGTCTTCTCTTGGTTCTTTTTACTTTATTATAATGTATTATGCGTTTTATTACTTCAATAATATTTTTTCTTGTTTGTAATTAGCAAGAACTAATTGTTGAAAATTAATTTGTTTTTGATTTGTGAATTCTTTTCTGATGTGTCTTTTCTGATCGGCATAGTGTTGTTTAACAAATATTTTCTGTTATTTTATAAGGTTCGAAATTAATCAGAAATTAATAATATATATATACTATTATTAAAAAGAAATTACTTTTTCGTGTGTTTTATACACACTTATTTTCATTTTGTATTTGCAAATTTTTTCATATGAAATGTTTCTACAGCACATTTTCGGTTTAAACCAATTTTAAATGGCTGGATTTCCACTAAGATGTTGATATACAATTATTTAAAAACATGTACATATTTTTTTCAGAATATGAGCTGTGACAATGCCATGCTTGTAAGAGCTTTGGATAGGTTTTACAGAAGAGTGCAAGCAATGAATAAATTGCTCCCACGTGTTGATTTTATGGAGTATGTTGCCTTTCTGAATGTTCATAATTATTATATATCAATATTTATGCTATAGTAAGTAGTATGTATAAAATTGTGTTACAGTAAAAGCTCGAATATCCAGCATTTAGCTTAAAAGAAAGCTTAAGTAACCAGCATCAAAAAAAAAAATTAAATGAGATAATCTATAACTGTGTTTTAAAGCTTGTTATACTTAACATGCATGTATTGTAGTGAAACAATATGATTTAGTGACAGTGATGGGTAAGCATTATGTCATAACAGAGTTATGAGAAATTATCATGGTTTTGTGTAAGCTCAGTTATTTCTTCATAAATCGATTTAACTTTTGTAAAGAAGGATGTAAATTCTGTTTTGTTGCATTCTGAATGAAAATTTTAATATATAGAAACTGCTTTCTACAGGACAGCATGCAGTAAAGTATTTTCAAAGTTATAGGATCCTGACACAAAAAAATTCACTGTATGCAACTTTATTTCAAAATGGATAAACAGTGATGATGCAAAGTGAAAACTTGTGATAAGCGAGTTAAGTTTTTTATGTGCTATATCTGTAATTTGTATTTGTTTATTATCTAACTAAAGAACTGTACATTCTTTTAAACTTCTGGAATGACTGATGCAAGTTTGGTGACATCTCTGCCGACTTTCAGTGGGATTTTATAATTAGCTACTGTGTTTAATTGGCTTGTATGTCTTAAATGCATTTTCTCCTAAAATTTTGTATAATTTTAAGTGTAGGTTTTTGATATTCAAGTTGATAACAAATGAGATGACTGCTTTTATAATTTTAGACTGGAAATTTCTTCTAATGTAAATTTTGATTTTTCTAATGTAAATTCCGTTTTTATGCACCCATCTATCTGGAATTTTCATGTGTCTGGCATTAGGCATTTCCCAAGCTTTCCAGGTAGTTGAGCTTTTACTATATTTAGTTTCATGGCTGTTTGGGCACATAAACAGAATTGCTATCTTTTTCATATTCATTTAGAACACTTTATAAAAGTTTTCCATAAAGGATAGGACTGAATATTATTAGTGAATACTGAATGTGTTGTTAGGAATCCCTATTGAGACAAAAGGAACAAACAAATATAAGTAAATGCACATGTTAAATTTTAAATATTTGTTATAGACATGAAGAAACTCCAAAGTATTTTAAGTTCTATGCAGAAATGAGAATTTCTGTTCTTTGCGTGCATTAACTTTTAGTATGAAATTGATCTCTTCACATTTAGCTATATGAACTGTTTGTTTTGCTGGAAATATATGCATGGATTTAAAATATATATATTGTTGCAGGTGCCCATTTGTTGATGTCTTTTGTAAATAATAACTGCAGATAAACGGGAAAAAAAATGAGAATATTATCAAAAGAAATTAGTAGCACACAATACTATAAATAGCTCAACGAGATTTCAGATATTAAGCAATTCCTCTTAATGCATGAGAAATATCATTTAACAAAATCACTTAAAAAGTGAATTCTAATCTACAATTCAGCTCATGCTGTTTAAGCGGCTTAATAACAACTAATAGCTATTATTAAGTCATCTGAACTCTTGGAGCCATATTTTTATAGTATAACATGATCACAACTGTGGTGTAGCATGAGCTTCTGAAAGCTTTGACAAAAATTTGGTTGCTATTTGGTTGTTCATATATGCTTATACTCGACATAATTCTAAAGCTATTTTGTGCTATTAAATGCTATCACACTCAGAGCGAAAAAGTCAGAAATTTCATATAAGAAACAAACACTTAATGTGCAAAATGTGGCCTGCCCCCCCCAAAAAAAATATTGTGAAAAAAAATAAATGAATGCATAGTATTGTAACAATATAAATGAGCTGATTTACATATTTGCAGATATTTACAGCAATATGTATATGTAGTGAATAGTTTGACATGGATAGCCTAGAATGTGATAGTGCATAAAGATGTACTTGCAGTTACAGCCAATTAAACATTTTTTTACATTAAACATTTTGTCATAAAATGACAAAATGTTTTTGAAGATGTACAGCTAAATTAGCATATGATATACACCCTGTCTTTAACAACAGCCTTTTTAGACTTCTAATTTTGATAACATATTTGAAGTTAGAAAGGAAAGAGCATGTTAAAGGATAGAGAAGTGGAGCAGTGTGGCATAGATGTCATGTAAAGAATATAACAGTTACGAATTTTCTTTAATCCCATCAGTTAATGAAGAATTTTGTTTGTAAAGATTATTATTGTTATTATTGCTTATGATTATTATTATTAGTATTGTCTTAAAGATTGGTTGTGTTACATATAAATCTATGAGATGTTATTTAGCAATCATACGACGAGGACTAACTTGAAAGATACTAGTTATAGAGATATATTATTAACATATTACCATTTTTAGGATAGAAAAGAAAATAGTGATATTAAATAAAATTAAGGAGCTATTGCAAGTTAAAACTAGAATTTAATTTTACATAGTTTTTATCTTACATATTAATGGAGAAGATATATGTAGATTATATGGATAGATGGCATCTTAAAAATAATACATTTTATTCCTGTTTGTACTGATGGTTTGAGATTTGTCAATTTTAGTGTTGTTATTGGCTGAAATATTTTTTTCACCTTCAGTGTGCCATTTCCACATACTTTCCATCACAGAAACTTATTTCAGTTTTCAGTATGTGCTTGTACATTTTTGCCAGATATTTTTTTAATTGTGATGTATACAGAATGATCTCACACTTAAGATGGTCATGAACTGCATTAGCTGACTAGCTACTCCCCTATTTCCTAAGTCTAAAAGAAGAAAAAAGAAATAATTTCATTTTGGATTCTTTAGTTTTATGTTTAAACCTGAACTTGATTTGAAACTTCTGTTTTGATAAAATATTATATGCAGTTAGTTATATGTGAGGGGAAAAAATGAGTTTCCTTAATAAGTAATTTAATAAATATTTCAAATTTATGTAAAATTTTTTGAAAAAGTTCCTCTTCTTATTTGAAAAGCTTTTAAATATTGAGTACTTTGAAATATGAAAGTATTTTGAAATATTCCGTCATTTACTTAGTGCATTCTGTAGGACACTAATTTCTTGTATGGAAGAAAAATCATTCTGTAGACGAATGATTTTTATATTGTTCTCTGGTAATGATTTTTTTAGGGACCTATCAATTAACACATTGTAGCAAGGCTGACACTTGTACATTCCTGAAGATATGTTGGTTATTGTTGAGCATTTCTAGCTATTAACCGTCACTCCATTTTTGATGGAGAACAGCAGTTCAAGGGTCTTCCAGCCCTCTTCCTGTATAACCAGCTACTCACCAGTTTGCCATGTGTTTTGAGTGCATGCTTGCACAGACATTTTACACTTACAAACATCCAAGTTTTCATTGGGATTCGAACCCGAGCATGCCAGTTTGGTAATAAGTTTTATTAACCACTACACCAGCTGGGTGCCTTATCAATTAACAGTTTTTTAGATTTTGTACCTATGATTTTGTTAAATTATGACTGTCATTTAATACATCATCTTGGGAAATGGTGGCCATACCTAAAGAAATTATCAAGGATTCAGCTTGCTAGCCAAATAAAATTATAAATGATGCATTTGCTTCAAAATCTAAATGCCATTTATTCATTCATCTAATGGGAAAATAGTTGTAAAGAATAATAATACATACAGTTCTTTTGTGATTGCATAGTAAGAATGAAATTCAAAATCCAAATGAAGGAGCTTTATATAGCAAAGGAAGCAGTTTCAGTTTTACTATGTAATACGCATCCTGAAAACACATAAATATTTTAATTTTACTTTCAAAGATCAATTGAAAATAAGGTTTAGTGTTAACTGTATTTGAGTGACAGTTCCTTTAATATACATTCAAATTAATCATGTCCAAAAAGTATAATAATGCTGTGGTTACAGTTGCAAATATATCAAGATTTATTTTAAAATTGTTTGATTTTTTATTTGTTTGTGGTAATGAACTCATTTGCAATCTCGGGAAGAAATTCTTTCGCAAAAATTATGTAGCTCGAACTGAAAACTGTTAAAGCAGCAGCTCTTCAATCGGAAGCAAGACATATAACAGTAACTGACTGAATGAAACACTAAATTTTGATGACTGGGCTGGCTGCATGGTTGGTTTTTAATGGTTTTTCTCATGTGTAATGTGAATATGAGCCAGTTTACCTCAGAAAGTCTTCCATGAAGGTATCCCTCCTCTTTAAGCAGATAGCCCTCAAGATTTTGCCATATTTTAATAGTATAATCTTGCCCCTTTTTTTCTTAATAAATAAAGCAGATCAGAAACATACAGATGTATACACTGGTCATCAAAGTTAAAGAATAATGACAGAAATAAAACATAACTGATTCTTGATGAAAAACTTAACAGAAATTTATATAAAAGTGTTAGTTAACATAAAGGAAGAACAAGTTACATGATCTTTCCTCTCGACAGATCAAAACACATCTAGAATCATTAAATGAAAAATTATTAACAGAAATTTGTATAAAATCGTTAGTTAACATAAAGGAAGAACAAATTGCATGTTGTTTTCCTCTCTCGAGATCAACAAACATCTAGAATCATCATTCAGACTGTTTCTGGACTCGTCAGTAAGCAACTCAGGCCCAGTTGTTTTGGTTTCATTGAACATGACAATGGCACCAATTTAAACGAACCCTACAGGAAGCTCGAATGAGTGGAACACAAACTATTGTTTTTCTCACATTCACAATAGAATGGCTAATTCGGGTTCCTGTAGCAGCCTGAAATTCTAAAACCAAATCTCGTATAGTTTTGCGGTTTCTTTGAACTGACACTGACAGAAAACTGTCTTCAGATGCAGTTGCTGCTCTTGGTCGGACTTGACCAGGCTGTCTGTCAACAGATCCAGTGCTTAAAAAGCATCTCCAAGCTCTTGATATGACACTTTGAGGGATATTAAAGTCTTCGGTGACCTCCATTTGTGTTTAACCTCCCTCAATTGTACCAATTATTTGCCACATTTGACCTTCACTGAAATGATGCCTTTGAGCCATAACTAATGAACATTGATCATTCTCAGAAACCACGTTCACTTTAAACAATACTACAGACCGGAATTCCAACATGCGTCCATTGCACACCATGCTGTCAATCACTGAATTTGCATATTTCTGGCTCTAACATATGTGCAGAAGTGCAATTTTCTGTTCAATTGTATTTAATTAATATAAATAATTACAGTATTGGGCATTGGTAGCAACATTAACTTAATGAACATATTTGTTGTCATTATCCTTTAATTTGGATGACCAGTGTATATATATATATATATGAGGGCTAGAAGATCTTGCTTTCACTTAGAAGAATTGAGGAGCGTAATTGCCAATGGCATTGACAGATACCTGCTATGGGCTAAATGTATAATTACTTTAGTTTGTTGAATAAAGGCTAGGTTAGGTTATTTAATTATGGCAAAGCCTCGAGGGCTATCTGCCTAAGGGGGAGGGATGCCTTCATGGAGGACTTTCTAAGGGAAACTGGCTCGTATACACATTACACATGAGGAAAACCATGAAAACACCCATGCAGCCAGCCCGTTCGTGGGATTCGAACCTTGGACCGAACTACCAGTGTTCAGCAACTTTACCGCTCGGCCGCTGGTGAGCCCTTGTTGATTAAAGAATGGTTATAATGTTTTACTGTTAGATTCACTGGTATATATACTACATTTTTTGCAATTCCACTTTTTCTTCTTCAATGGCCAAACAGCCCAGGATGGGCCCTTGCCTTCCTCAGAACCGAATTCCAAGCTCTTCTATCGCTAGCCATGGACATCCAATTGGTTATTTTTAAAATTCTCAATCCAAACAGTCGAGCCACCTAAGTTTAGGTCTCCCTCTTTTTTGGGTGCCGAATGGTCTGGCCAAGAAGATCTTTTTAGTTACTCGATTTTCATCCATTCTGCACAGGTGTCCTGCCCATTTAATTCTCTGAATCCTTATATATTTTACTATATCTATTTCTTTAAAGCATTTATGGAGTTCAAAGTTAGTTCTTCTTCTCCAGATATTGTTACATTTTATGCCGCCAAAAATACTTCTCAAAATTTTTCTTTCAAAGACAGAAATAATACTTTTAGCTTTTTCTGTCATTGCCCAGGTCTCAGCAGAGTATGTAAGAATGGGTCTGATTAAGCTTTTGTAAATTAAAATCTTCATTTTTCTGCTAATGAAGTTAAACTTCAAGTATTTTTTTTAGACCGAAAAAACATCGGTTAGCATCTGTGACTCTACTATGGATCTCGGGCATTAAATCATTGAGAGTATTAACCTCTGATTCTAAATATTTAAATTTGCTAACAGTTTCAAATTTGTAATTCCCAATTTCAAAATAGGGATTGCTGTTATTACCACATGGCATGTATTTAGTTTTATTTTGGTAATTCCACTGTTTACTTTATAGTACTTACTGTATTTTTTTATGCTAAAGAATATTCAGTTGCATTTTCGTGAGGTTTTTCTTAAGAGTTTTTCCTATCAAGATATTTTTATTAAGAGTTTTATTCTTCATTTTCATAAATTTTTTAATTGTTAATGTTGACACTTATGATTATAATCAGTTTATGGCATTGCCATAAATTTATTATAAACATACATAGTCATACCATAATTACAAAATATAGTAAATTTTTTAAATCAAAGCTAATGTATTTAAAAATTAATGTTACATATGAATATTTGAAGCAATTATTTTTATTTCTAGGAAAGGTATTGAAATTATTTCAAAAGCTGCAAAGGATCGGTGTAGCTATTATCTTCAGAGGCTGAAGGAATGTTTTTCAGCTTCTATGATAAATGTCAGGCAAAGTATAGTGGCCCCTCGAATACTAGGTCAAGATGGAACAAATAGTTTAGCTGATGTTCTTGCTGAATTTGAATCCCAAGTATCAAACAGCATTAAAACTGTTCAATCTGAACTACAGGTTAGCATTAAGGTTGTAAAGAAGTATATTTTAAAATAGATAATGCTTTTACTGTTCAAAATGCTCTGTTTAATTTTAAAAACTAGAATTGTGTAGATGTAATGAATTTCTGATCAATATGATTTTCTTCCAGTTTTTTATTCATTCAGATATAACATTTTCCATGCAAGTTCAATTCAGGGAGCCATTCTGCAAAAGTGTTCGTGAAGGTCTTGTAGTTGCATTCTTAAAATACATAAATGAAAAATGCCAAGTAAGTGCAGGGAGCATATTATATACTAGAGAGAGAGAGAATATTTTCAATTTCTTTTAAATTTAATTTCTTTTTTATATTTAGTTAAATAGGTTTGTGTAGTTCCTCAGTCTGTGAAATGTTAAAACCTATGCATTCAAATAATCTTGTTATGACATTTACAGAAGAGCATTATATACACAGTGTTTCATATTGAAATGGGAAAAATGAAAGCATATCTGTAAATGCTGTAATTACTTTATTTTGATAAATCAAATTTACAGAGAAATTATAGTTATCCAAGTTTCTATAGATAATCTATGTGTGCTCCTCCGGCATGACACCGACTCCTTATCACATGGCAAATATATATGCAGTATTTCAGCAAGTTAATAAATCAGTTACAGAATTTGTACTATGGTTTTCTTTTTGTCCCATTCAGTAGGAAACACCGTGCATATGAATATAAAAAGATGTGCACATAAAAATGTTTTAGTAGAGAAAATGTAATTTAGGGTAGCTTGCAAATATTTTTTTCATAGCTTTAAAGGAATTTCATTGCTTCCAGTATTTTTTCTTCTGTCTTACAGGAATTCTGCTCAAATTATGAGAAAAGTGCTGTTCCTGCACAGTTAATTCTGCTGCTGTCACGGTTTTGCTTTAACTTGGAGCAGTCATCAATTTGTTATTTGGTTAGTAATATTCAACATTTTAAACAGGCATAATTTTTGCCATGAATTAAATCATGCATTTATTGAATATATTAAATTATTGACCAACCTAATTATGTGACAGATATTCTTTGCTTTCATTATGACACTGCGATGACTGTTTCCCTTAATAGGACAACCTTCATCTTACTCCAATAGGCTGAGCATTTCCTATCCAATGCACTTCTCAGTGTGGATTGTAGCTGTGTTATCTGTTGGGTATTTCTTCATCTCTTCTATCACTAGCATTTGTACTGCAGAATGAGGATTATAAGCCATTCAACTAATCCAATAGCAATAGTTATTAGCAGTCAAATGGTCACATGCTATGTATCACATCACTCAAACAATAGTTACTACTGTAAAACATGTGGCACCAGCCAGGCATATACCCTATCACACAATCATTTTGTAATTCAAAATTAAATTATATTTGTTAGTCTAAGTTGTAAATATTGCAGGTGCAAGACCACTTTATGTACTTTTCTTTGGGAGGGGGAATGCCTCATTTTGGTTTTGAATAAATGTTTGGCATTTTTTGAAAGTTTTGTGGTGAATGTCTTTAAGAAATAATATGGTCTTTCCTTGTGAAATCTATGTTTTTTTAGTGTGCTGATATATTTTCAGAATACTTATGTCATAGCCAATTTGTTATATACCTCAAGCCCATTCCTTTGGAAATGTGTGAAAATTTTCAAAGCTTTATTTAAGGCAACATTCTTTGTTGACACAAAGAAAAGGCTGCTTGAGCAAACAGTAGAATAAATTTCTTGAAATGAATCCCAAGGATGCCTTCACATACAGCTCAACATCTGGCATTCATTCCTTGCCTGCTAAACCACGTATGGCATAAAAATATTTCATTAGGTGATTTCAAAGTGAGATATGGGAAAAATGAAAATTTATAATTGCGAGTCATTCAGTCCAAAAAACATTAGTACATGTTGTTTAATATTCAAAGGAATTATACAATTATGTACAAGTCTTAACAGTAGATAGTTTTAAATTTAGAATTTATTTAAAAAAAATTAACAATTGATGAAAAATTGTAAATGAACATATTAAAAGAAGATAACATCTACTTGAATGTGGTACATCAAAGATGGCAGTGTGTTACTTTATTTTTTTCCTAAAACGAAAACAAATGTTGTCACTTACAGATCAAAGCAAATGAATGTATTATCCTATTGTGCGTTATTTGCAAAGCTTATGAAATTGATGAGTTTTCTGAAGTCCCCCAAATACCTTCATTTCATGTTTTTGTATAACTTGATTTAAAAAGCAGTGCATGAAGTGACTCTGATTAGTATGTTGGATCAGTGGTCAGTGATAATATATTGTTATTTGATAAATATCAATACAATTAATGAAATAATAACTGTCTACAAAAGAGTCAAAAAATATCAACAATTCGTTAAATTTAAAAGAAAACATGACCATCGATGCCTATTACCTCAAATAGTTAGCTAAAACTACCAAATAAATTTATCGAGGTGGGCAAAATTATCAGTAAAGTCTGATTGAAAGAAATTGTTTCTCTGCAAAAGATGTAAAAAAAGTACTTATGTGAAACATTTTAGTTCAGTATGTATGATATGAATATAACGCATATTAATGCAGTTGTGTTTGGAAATAGTGTTAGAATATGTAACTGTTTTTAAAATATAGATTCAATTTAAAATTATAATTTCCATAAAAATTAATATATATACTTCGAAGGTATGAGTCCAATACACTCCATATTGTTACTGCCGGAATATCGCTGAGAACTCATGATGTTTCATGCTCCAGATGCATTTGCCGAAAGGGTGGCTGGTAGTAGGTGAGTAGCAAGTCCTATCAGTTGTGAGGTAAAAAGTGAGTGTTCAAAACCAAGTACTCAAATACAAAATACAATTTATTAAATTGAAATAAATGAGAAACAAAATAGAACACAAAGGATATATAAACGATAAACATGTGTAGCGTATATACAAAGTGTATTGATTTTGTAGGGGTGTTTGAGGGACAAAGGTGGGCTGCTAATGGTCTAATATTTCTGTCCTCTGTAAGAATAATATAATCAAATACTTTGAAATTTTCCATATGGGGGTATTTTAAAGCTTTGAAAGAATTTTCATTGACTTTGTAAGGAAAGGTCTTGACTCTTTCAAATTTGAGATCCCAGTCCAATGTATCGTTGGATACGTAAAAGGGCGCATTCATGATGAGTCGTAGAAATTTATTTTGTATAATTTGAAGCTTATTGAGATCGTTCTTTGAGGCAGCTGCGCATGCTTGGAAGTCATAAGAGAAAATGGGTCAAATTATTGCCGTGTACAGATGCCTTTTATGCAGCAGATCCAATTTAGAGAATTTACCAATTATTGGCATGAGGCATTTCATAACTAATATAGCTTGTACAAAATACCTGATGTCATTAAGTATAACCCTTGGGTTGCTATTCGGCATGAATTGCTTCTTGAAATGTTCTGCTAAAAGCAAAGCCTTATCTTTGTTAGTAAGGGCAGTTGTACTGCCATTATTAATTGGTTTGTTGCATTGAGCTTTTCGTTTTGACTTTCTAGGAAACGTTCAGAATTCGTCATTTGGTTCATTGAAGCTGACAATTTTATCATTCCATCTTTCTGTCCTGTGTTGTTTGATATTTTGTCTTATACTCTTACAAAGTTTATTAACTTCCATTTTAATTCTTGAATCCCAGGTGAGATTCCAGCATTTTCTTAGCTAGTTTTTGTCTTTTATTTGTTCACGGATATAGCAGGGGAGAATATTAGGATTATTATCAGTGAGGATTTACTTAGTGGCATTATGATATGCACTGTTTATTCTGTTCATGAGTGCATTCGTTGCAGAATTAATGGCAGCATTAGTTTTGAGGATATTGAAAGCTGGAGGACTTTTTATTAGGAATTCACTGAAGCGACTCCAATTTGTGACTTCTTAAATTTGGTGTTGTCACTCTTTTGTGTTCCAAGTGTTGCAATAACAGATACGTGATCATTTGAGAGATCCATTTTAATGTCAAGATAAATTGGGATACAGACCATAGAAATTAAAATGACCAAAATATTGTCTCTTCCCACATGTTTGGGTAAGTAAGTGATTTCTGTGGGTGCAGAAAAGTAGACTGGGTGATTATTTATAAATTTGAGAAGTAGTTCACCATTCTTGTTTGTCCTTCTATAACTCCATTCATTGTTCTAGTGTGAAGCAGATCAGTAAGAATATTTTCATCTAACATATTTTGTGGTGGATTGTACATAGAGCTGAAATAAACAATACCAGTCATTGGTGGCAGAACTGAAATTGTAATAATCTCAAGGCCATTTTTCTATCTTCATTAATGTAGCTTCATTAATTGGATGTGTTTTTAACAGAAATTGCAACTCCCCTCCCTGAGAGCAATTTTCATACTAATGCCAGGATTAGCATGAGTCTTTGACACAAGCACAATATCATTCTGATTCATGATAAGAAAATTTTGAAGTTCCTGTATTTTGTGCTGGATGCATCGAGCATTTCAAATCATAACTTGGTATGGATGCTGTGTTAATAGAGTTATGACCCATTATCAACAACATTAGTGGTGTTTTTGTCCTGATTATTATTAATTAATTGTCTGTGATTTGTACAAAGCCAGCACTTTTTATAACCAAAACGAGTTCAGCCAAGTTTTTAAGCCTCACTGATAGTTTCCGTGTAAATACATGAGAATAAAACTTGTGCATATGACTTGCTTTCTATTACTCTGTTAGCTAAGAGTTCTGGCTTATGCTTTTTCTTCACAGTAAATTTTTTACAACCCTTGAAACTTGCAGTGTGTGATTTACTGCAGTTCACACAGCAAAGTGGCTTTTCCTTATTATTTTTTTCTGGGCATTCATTTGAGTTGAGGTCCTGGTGCAACGCTCACATTTAAGATGCTAATTAAACCCAGCCTGTATGTGATTGAAGCTTGGACATCTGAAACATTGTAAAGGGCCTTGACGACCTTTATATTCAACGGCACTCAATTTTAAGTCACATAGATATTTTGCATTATATAGATACTTTTTGATGCTTGCGTCTTAGAAATTGTAATAAGAAATAGTGGCAGTTTTATGACTTCACCATTCCAACATCGGGTCATCTGTTTAATGTCAGTTACAGTGTAAATTGAGGGTTTTGAGGTTATCTCTGATTTTTTCGATCTCAGTAGTTCGCAATAACCGTTTTAGTACTGATGCTCTACATCTAATTCTTTTAGCAATTTAACTATACGTCTATAACTGTCTGTGTTACCTACAGTAACATTGATTCCATCTTGTATGATTTGTCCTATGAATTAGAATTTATGCTGTCGAAACAGACTCTCGAGTTTCCTGTAACTAAATTTATATTCCTTTAAAATTATGGGCGGAAGTCTGGTGGGTTTGGGTGGTTCATTGTTATTAGCTATCTGAGAATTTGTTTGTGAGTCATCATTATTACTTGCCCACCAGCGGCCAAGCGGTGTAAATATGCTGAGCACTGGTAGTTCGGTCCAAGGTGTGAAACCCATGAATATGGGCTTCATGGGCATTTTCCTGGTTTCCCCATGTTTAACGTGTATATAACCAGTTTCCTTTAGAAAGTCCTCCACAAACGCATCCCTCCCTTTAGGCAGATAGCCCTCATGTGCTTTGCCATGGTTGAATAATCCAATCCATCATTATTACTCATGTCCATAAGCGGATTATCTGCTTCTGTACTGGTAGTTTGTGTATTTGTATCATTGGCTACAGTATTTGGCATGGGTGTAGTAATGGCAGGTGAGATGTTTTGAGTTTGTGTGCTAAGTTTAATTTTCTTAGCGGTTGGTTTCTGATTCTTGGTTCTCACCATCTAGTCTCATATTCTCATGGGAGTATCGTCATCTGAACTGAAATCCTTGTCAAGAGTTAGCTCCTCATCCATACTTGTTGCAGAATCATCACGTGATTTAATTGTGTTCCTGCCTCTGTTATTATCTGTGAGTGAGTTAGTTACCTGTACCCTGTTCAGGTGTGTCATGTTCCTGATTTGGGGTTAATGTTTCCTGATGTGTTTTCTGATGTTCTGCATTTAGTGCTTTAATCATGTCCAGTGAACTGAATAAAATTTATTCTGAATATCTGAGAAAGTTCCATTATGATCCCTAATATTTTCTAACTCCTGAATTTGTGAGTTGTAAAAATAAATTAGCCTCTCAATGGCCAAAATGGAGCCTAACCAAATGCAACCACATTTAGAAGACCTGTGCCCTGGAATTGAACCATAGCTCGATGGCTTTCTCAACAGACGATACACAGGTGGATAGCACACAAGGCCTCTGACAGTCACCTGAAGCGAAAGCTTGGGGGTAGCTATGCATGCATAGAAATCCAAAAACCCGTAATCCACACTTAAAATAATTAACACATGATTAAATAGCAATTATGGCATTCCAGACAGCAATCAGGCACATTGCAAGTCAGTATGTGAAAATAATTACTTAATCGCAAAAATATATATTAAACACGCTAGATTGCTAAAAGCTATCCTCAAAACCATACAAATCAAAATAACATAAACATATGCTATTCTGATTGAGCATCCAAAGCACGTGGTCACGCTTAGCGGAGCGTGAAATCGTACCACAATAGAAAATGGATCTAGTGGCAGCCGCAATCTCTCATATTGGCCTACTCGCTCTGAGTCTCCCCTCTGAGTGAAAGGTATGATTTAATAAATGTTAACTTAATAAATGTAGGATACCAATGTACAATCTCATATTTGTTGTTTTCATGTGCCTTTTTATAGGTTAATGCTTTTTTCCTTAAAGTTCGTAATTTTCACATCATATGTACCCATAACAACCAGACGTCAAGACTATTCCTCTTGTTTCAAAATTATTAGTGATTACCTGTGAAATCTATGGCTTTTGAAGATATCTGCTTGTTCTGTTTATGATTGTACAGTCATTGATGAAATTTTAGGATCCATGAAGGTCATATTTCGGTGTGGGTTGAAATGTTTATTCAGCTTATCCTTGAATCAGAAAGCAATAATCCAGAGTTAGGATTTTTCCTCAAGGAAGTAATTATGATAATTTTAAGTTTGCATGTTTATTCTTGTTTCATTTATTTAATTATTATTAAAATTTCAAAATTTAGGTTTCCTTAGTTGATGAGAAATTTGAAGTTGAAGCTGGGGATGGTTTGACACCTGTTTCTGAAATTTGTTTAGAGACCAAAAGATCTGCCCAAGTGAGTATTTAATGCATTTTTCTTTCTCGTAAAAACTAATATTTTAGAATAAATCTTTCATTATCTGCTGTAATAATGTTTTGTAATAAATTTTTCATTAGAAATGAAAATTAATTAATAAACAAATTAAAGAGGAATGTTTTTCATAATGCAGCTATAAAAGTGAAATATTCAAGTTCCTATAAAGCATCCATGTATATTAGACTTAGGCAGATTTAAATTGGGATGAAATATGTTGCATTTTTTAAGTTAAGATATGTATACTTCTAATCTTTCCATACTACTTCTGAGTTTGTAATGTGACATCTACATGTTTAATTGATCGACTGTAATTCTTTGTCTACAGAATTGACTTTTCTCAATATTTATATAAGCTTATCATAATACAGTACAAAGTCGCAGTTCTAGAATTGTCAGGACTTCTGGGATTCCAGATTTTAGAACATAAATTTAAATCTAATAAGATAACATGTAGAAAATATAAAATTAAGAATATGAAATAATTGTTTATAAAATAGGAAATTATTTATGACCTGAAGGGAAACAAAATCCCCTCCCCAAAAAAGCCCTTATTTACTTGTTTGTTTTATTAAACGTTTCTTTCAGTTTAGTTGTTTAACCCTTTCGAGACGGCAGACCTTTGTTTAAGATATTCTGTCGGGATGGAGTGGAGTTCTGTCGGGATGGAGTGGAGTGGAGTTTCTGTCGGGATGGAGTGGAGTGGAGTGAAAGGAATAGTCTTGCGGGATAGAGGTGTCGTGTTGCTAAGTCTAAGTTTAGAAAAAAAATAATAAAAAAATGCAAGTCTTAATTTTATGAATTTTGATACCATTTTAGATTATTACCTAAGCTGTTGTATACATTAAAATTTGCAGTTAATAATCTTTCCATGAATATATATTAAAAAAAATTGCAAATAATTTTCGGAATTGCTATTCAAATTATTCCAAAATGTTAAATGACAAAATACACTAATAAACTTTGAAATTATTAAAAAAATACCAGAATGGTTATTTACAAGAAGATGTAACAAAATTTGAAATGAAGGATGAGTTTGGTAAATATCGAAGCGTGGAAAAATGCAGACAATTTGTGAACAAGCTATGTCCCTTTGTTGGGTTTTTACAGCCTCAGTGATATTTAAACATCAGCATTAAATACATGGCTTTTAGAAACAGAATTAAAATTATGTAAATTTATAAAATTTTTCATTTAGATTAAAAATTAAAAGATATAAATAAAGCATGGCAAATAAAAAAAGAAGAAAATATGGAGAATTTCATTCATAATTAGAATAGGAATCAAAAATAGTTCTAAAGAAACTTATACATTCATAAATATCTCCACTTAAATGAACAGTTTCATAGACATACTAGAAGCAGAACTTTTTTAAATAAGAAGGTTTTAATACTTGATCTTTGGATCAATTTTGCATTTCTGTAACCTTCTGAGTGCCATGACTGGTTTTATCCGGTCATGAGATTTTCTTGTCATTTGGTATATATTAGCTTATAATTTAAGATATTTTGCATTCTTACTTTCTTTAATAATATAAATGCTGTCTTAACAAATATAAGTTTTTGGAAATATAGACTAAAACAAGGAAACAGACAAATTTACGTAATAAAGGCTGTTTAAGTATAGGTCTTCGTAACAGATCCAAATACCACATCACTCAGAGGGTTAACTAAGTAATGTTATACAAGTGAGAAGATATTTATAAAATAATAAATTCTTTTGTTAGAATCTGTTTGGAATCTATTTGGAACAGCACTCCAATTGGCAATATTTAGTTTCTGTTTCATTTTATTAAAGAACTATTTTGCTAAGATATAGAAGTATATACTAAAAAGATATAGAAATATAATTGCGGCTCTTGGAAGATCTAGTTTCAGCTTTTTAGTGTTGTCAAAAAACACAGTATGTGTTCAAGACATTAGCAGTTCAAGCAAAAGAAAACCATCTTCATATGTCGCGAAGTAGTTTCCAAGGATGTTTTGCAACATTGATTGCCAGCAGTCTCTTTTGTAGGGAGAAGGAAAATATGCTCTGCAGTATAATCTGGAAGTGATTACTTCCTTGGGATACTCATGTTAAACATTTGAAAAGTATACTAGGAATGGTGAACTGTAGGGATCTCTAGCGGGTTCACGTGAGCCATTTACAAACTGTGTCTTCAATTTGAAAACCCTTGTTTTTTGTTTCTGTTTGCTTATTTATTCTAAGAGAAAACATGTTTTTCATGCCACGATACTTTACTTGTTTATGTCAACAAAGCTAACAAAGCAATTCAGAAGAAAGGCAAACAGTTAGGCACTATAATCAAACATATAAAGAATTCAGAAAAACAACAAAATCAGTGTTATATTTTCAAATTTTCACAGGACTCATTTGCGCTTTTGCAGCTGAAGATGGTGGTTCGGTAAAACCATCGAAACTAGTCCTGTGAAAATTTGAAAATATAACGCTGATTTTTGTTGTTTGACTTCTGAATTAGTATTTGTTCGGCATGTTATTGTGTCTTAATTATATATATGAAAATTACATGTCATTGAAGGTTTTAGAGAAAATAAATTTAGGGTTTCCTAGCTTAAACTCATTTTAACTTTAGTGCATGTTGTTCATTCTAGTGATACTAGATCTAGAACTGAAAAAGTAGTTTCCCTAGGAAATCATAAATGAACCTATTTTAGCAGAAGATCAATTATAACTAAACCTTTGTAATGCTATTATAGTGACTGATGTTATGTCCTTGATAGAAAAATTTGAGCAGTTAAATCATTGTTTCGATGTGTTTTGTGTAATTTGTGACATTAAGAAATTGCCAAAAAATAAAAAAAAAAAAAAAAAATTCTGAAAGTTGTAATGTGCTTGTAAATGTTGTGAGTGTCCCAAAATAAAGATCAGAAGATATAAATGCTCTGGATCTAGAAGTGCTGTTCATCATGTTATCACAAACTGCCAACAGTTGCTTGACATTTTGTGCAACAGTACTTCACTATGGTCATGAAAATAATTTATAAGACACTTTCCCTAATGTGGCAACTGCACTGAGAATTTTTGCGTGCCTGTGCAAGTAGCCAATAACGGAATATAGCTTTTGAAAGTTAAAGTTTGAAAAAAAGAATTACAATCTTCAGTAAATGAAGGATTAAGAGTTTTTTTTTTTTTTTTTTTTTTTTGTAATTAAAAAAAAATGTTTCTAGAATTAAAACAGAAAACAAGTAGCAGGAAAAAAATAGGAAGTTTTTATTTGGAATTACTGACTAAAGGAGGACATCTTTTGGAACTAGTGTTTCGCGATCTCCTGATAATGACAGTACTTACTGTTGCCAGAACTGATGATGGCGATACTCACTATAACTAAATTATATATTATTCAATTTCTTTTTTAACATGCTTTAACACTTTTGTTTGTCAATTAAAAAAAAGGAACACTAATAATAAACTAGAAGAGAAGCCACAAGAATCCCATCTTGTTGCAAAGAATCAACAGTCTTGGTTTAAATAGCAGTTTAGTCATTATTTCAGCAACTTGCCCTTCTGCAGATGGCTGCCACACAATAATTTTTTTTCTAGAACTTTCTTTCATATGAAAAAGTGCTTAATATCGATGTGTTTTTTATGTTGATGAAACTCGGGATTTTGTGACAGTCTCACTGCAGTAGTATTATCTATTTGAATTACTGGAAGTTCATCTAAATTTCTGTGCATCTAAATTTCTGTTCTACGGGAAAAATTTCTGTGCTTGGCTTATCTTCCTTTTCAGTTGAGCTACCCTTCAGGATAGGAGTTGACACTGGTTTGCTGTCTTCGTTCCCAAATTTTTTAAGATTTTTTTGCATAAGCTTGCCACCTAATTTTGATATTACCATCTTCAAGATGCTTAATTTCAAGTTCAAGAAAGTATGCTTCTGGTTTAGTTGTGATTCTGAATCTCAACTTCAATTCTCTGAGAAATTTTTCAGATTCTTGTAGATTTATTGGTGCTATCAAACCATTATTCACATATAAGTATATGATTAGCTTCTTACCATTTTTGTTTGTTATATATAAGTGGATCACCTTCAATTGCCATGATGCCAAGTTGTGACACAAACTCTCCAAAATATTTATTCCAACAACATAATGCTTGTTTTAGTCCATATAAGTCATGTTTCAGCTTACAGACTTTGTCAGAACCATCACTATATCTTCTGATTACTCAATGTATATGGATTCTTCAAGTCTTTCATATAAGAATGCTGAACAGACATCAGACTGAGGAAAATGAATATTCTCACTAGCTGAAATACTGAGAATTGAATGGACAGTTATAAGGTATTTCTCACGCCTTCCTACCATGCCTTTATGGTGTAGTGGTTCTTTCTACACACTGGCCTGGTATTCCAGAGGTCTGTGGTTCAATTCCCACTGAAGGCATTTGCTAATTTTTCATGTTGCCTGCTTCCAAAAACATAATGTCTCTACAGTGGCACCCGAACTAAAAGGGTTGTAGATGATGACTCTTCACACCCAGGATTTGGCGATTGGGTCCCCTAAAAAAACCCCAGTCGCCCTTTAAAAGGGGGAGTATATAAGGTAATTCTCCTGCCTTCCTAGTGTGCCTTTGTGGTGTAGTGGTTCTGCACACTGTGCCGGTATTCCAGATGTCCGTGGTTCAATTCCTGGTGAAGGCGTTTGCTAATTTTTCATCTTGCCTGCTTCCAAAAACCTAATGTCTCTACAGAGTTCCTAACTTTGTTACTGGACGAAACGTTTACTCGTAATCAACTCCATAATGCTGAGTGTAAACACTTTGGTAATGCGTCTAGCTTTGAATTTATCAATAGGGCCATCAGGATTCTTTTTGATCTTATAATATTTTATCTTATAGCTTTAGCATCTTGTTAATTTTTCTAAAGCCTGTGTTTCATTTTCCATCTGTGAAGTCATCTCAGAATCCATATCTTCTTGCTAGCGTTCACTTAGTTTACATTTGATGCTTCTTCATAAGAACC